CTCTTGGGGCTCGGGGTCTGCCCTCTGATCCCCATTCCCACACCTCCTGACAATGAATACGGAATAGATCTCATGTAGCTCAGGATACCCTACCCTGGGTCCCCATAAAAACAAATTCTGTCTCCATATCCCATGTCTAGACTGCAGCTAATACTGGAAAATTCCAACACATCTTGGAATATTATCCTGACTGTGAGTGGCACTAAGTAGGTTTTTTGTCTTGCTCTTGGACAATCTGGATGACCTGGATTCAACCCTCTTGCTTACTGTTTGTCCGTCCCTTTAGTCAATTGGGCCCCCACACCAGTCTCCCAAATACAGTCCCTGCCCTCAGAGCATAAATGGAGCTGAACAGAAGGACTGTGAGAATCAAAGAGACAGGTTCTACCTGCAAGGTCTCAGGGAACAGGACCCCTACTAGAGGTATGGGGACTTAAGAGGAGGCCAAGCCAGCTTGGCTCCAGCTAGAGAAGCTTCCTGCTTGCCTGAATCCAGTCACCCAACCCCTCTGGCCCCATTTACTCCCCACCACTGTGTGTCCTTGAGCTCAGGTGGGGCCAGAAGGTCCTGAGTCATCATGAGGCTGGATGCTGGCCGGAGGAACACAAACATGACTCACGGCTCCTCTCCTGGCTCGTGGGCTCACCCCTCCGTGAACCACCGATGCACGTGGGCACGTCGGGTTGATGCACAGCTGGAGGTGGCTGCATATATCTGTCAACAGTGACTCTTTCATGTTGAACAGTCACCCAGTCACCTGCCACCACCCCACCTAGCTAGACCCCACCAGACTAAGGCACCCCGAGTCTTAAACCAGCGTCTTCCATCTATGTAAGGAATATTGCTTCCCCTACCCCCTGAACCAGCTTCCCCATGGTAAAGTTTTGGATGCATCCGTCTTTGAGCACCTACTGTGTTCTACACATTGCGCGAAGAGCTGAGGCTAAAACGATGAACAAGCCCCAGGCAGGCAGGCACCTGCCCCACAAGCACAAGAACCTGAGTTCGGATCCCATGCAGAAAAAAAAAAAAAAGCTAGGTTTGGGGTTTGGCAGTGTGTGTCTGTGTGTGTCTGTGTCTCCAGTGTTGGGGAAGCAGAGACAAGAAAGTCTAGCCAGTCTAGCCAAATGAGTGAGATATGAGAGACGTTGTTTTAAAAAGTAAGTGGGGAACAACTGAGGAAGAAACCCAACCTTGACCCCTGGCCTACACGTGTATACATACGCAAGTGCACCCTCACACACATGTGCATGTACATGTGGACACATATCACACACACACACACACACACACACACACACACACACACACACAGTGATAAGCAAGCCTTATCTCCTAGAGCAGCCGTAGAACAAAGCAGACTCCTCCAGTCAATACAAAGCTCAAAAGTGAAGCAAATGCTATTGATGGCCAAATGGGAATCGTATAGTAAAACCTGCTGTGTGGTCTGAGGGATCGGGCAGTCACCTGAGATCCACCAGAGTGAGGGGTGAGCAACAGTGATCAAGCAAGAACAGATGAAACACAGCCTGAGAGAGGGGTCAAATGCCCTGGTGTGGAACAAGTAAAGTGGTCACAAATCAGACATCCAGCATGGCTGAAGGGCAGCACGCTTCATCAAGGAAAGGATTTGGGAAGATAAAAATGCTTACAACTTCATGTGAGGCTTAGATGAGCTCCTGAATAACTGCTGGGCTGAGACCCAGCACACTGTAAGACATTACCCTGACTCTCAGGGACGGTGGGCACGCCTCTGCCCTTCCACTTGGACCATCTGGATGATGTGGGTGTCGATTATCTTCCTGATTACCAAGTCATCCTTCTAGTCTACAGGGTCCCCACTTAAGATGAAGAGCCTGTGTCAAGTAGGTATCGTAGGTATTGTTGAGGACACATAGTCCCTCCCTCAAGGAACCAGAGGGCTGGATGTAGCCGGGTTCAAACCGTATGACTTGGAGCAGGATGGTCTCCCTTAGAAGAGGAGATAGGACAGATGATCTCCATCCACCTAGTACAGCCCCATTCTGCATTCAGAGTAGGTGGAGAAAGTAGCTCCTCCCAAATTACATTAAAGGGGTGTGGCACCACCGTCCTCATCGGGCTAGCCCCAGGACTCTAAGAAGCAACCTACTTGCTTCCACTAGGCGGTGCTATCGAGTCACTTTTCTGGTCTGTTCCACTGGTGGGCGCAGAGCCCAGGTCTCCAGTGGATGCTGTAGCCTTTTAAGCCTTGTGAATAAGAGAGCTAGTCATCAGTAGAAATCAGTTGTTGCCTCTACCCTTTCCCACTGAACATGGTGGCTACCCTTTCCCACTGAACATGGTGGCAAAAATCAGGAGAGAAGGGTGTCTGCGTGAGACTCCGGAACTGCTGTGATGCCTGCCCTTTGTTCCTGGGGCCCTTGGAATCCAAGCCCACCGCTTAACTTTTCCCCACTCCCGAATTCTGAGCTTGCTTATAGCCAAGTGGCCTCAAGCAAGTCTGTCTTTTCCCTGTGTTCCTTCCAAACAGCAGTGGCAGCGATCCAAGCAAGGACAGAGGGTATCCCCCAGCACACTAGAGCCTACGGAACTCATACGTCCATATTCCTATAAAGCAGGTTTCTTTGGAGGACAAACTCAAATATCACAGGAAAAGTGATGACTAAAGATCCATAAGCAATCCGCAGCATTCTGGGCTTCCATCTCTACTAGTGAGTGTGGATGTGTTTTGCTCTCTGCCCAACCCAGATCACACTTCAAGTGTGAACCATCCCCTATAGTCTATGTCATACTTGACAGAAAGTTCATTGCTCTGACAGGCATCCTGACAGGCTCTGACAGACATCCATACAAGTCTCATGAAACCCCTTTTCACATGGTTCCCACCACTCAAAGGCCTGGGAACCATCCTTTCCCCATCTCTAAAGTAGCTCTCTCACCTTTCCTCCCCTCTAAGGTCCCAGTCCTTCAGCTCCAGGATGTACACCTTCAGATAAGGTTCATCCCAGCTCAGCCTTGCAGGATGCCAAGACTCAGATCAAATGTTATCAAAAGTTTCAATGTCACAGACCAGTCCTGACTTTGCTGGCATTGTAGGCAGGGACAAGGGACACCAACAATACTTCCTTTTATTAGTAATGCCTCGTCTTGAACCACCGCAGACAGAACACTATACACCAAGCTCCACGCTAAGCTCATTGGATCCATGAAATCGTTTAATTCATCAGCATTGTGTAGTGAAGGTATTTATCCTCCATCTTGTGAAAGAGGAATGTGGATTCGGTATCCTGACCCAATTCTCCAAGGCTGGTGAAGATAGGATTCTCAGGTCCAAGGTTTTAGCCCCTTTGTCCAAACTGCCTTTCTTCATTCCCACCCCTACATTCAACTCTACTCAGCCAAATGAACAGGCTATTGAAATGGATACAGAGCCAGACAACTTTTTTCCTAGCCGGGGGGCAGTGAGCCCTCCCCACCCCTGGCATCTCTGCCACTCACCCAGATGATGCTCCTCCCCTTTCTACTTCTTAGTCATCCACAAAAGAAAGCAAAAGTCACTCCTCCACCAAGGGGTGGCTCTTTATGCCCTCACTACGGAGCCCAGTCTGGCTTTAAACTCACAGTAGTCCTCCTGATCCACCTCCCTAGTGCTAGGTTACATGTGTGACCCATCAGGCTCAGGTCAGCCTGGATCTTAAGGTGTATTTACTTGTTAGATTTGTATATCAGCAACAAGACACAGGGGCCATCATTCTTCCTGCACAATGAGGAAACTGAGATCCAAGCTCTCCGAGGTCACTAATTCAGAGCAGGGCCGAGGTTACAAACCACTTGGCCTATTCTGGAAGCCTCTGGAAATGTGCTTGTCATGAATGGTACCCAGCATTGCTAACACAGCTGTGCCTTGAGCCCACGGACTCCAGGTGCTGTGCTGGACAATGTTCTTACAGGTTGTGTTTCCAGCCAACATCCCCAAGACTAGGAGACAGGCTATCATCATTCCCATTTTACAGATGTGGAAACTGAGGCTTGAAAAGGGGTCATCTACTTCCTCTAAATCAGAGGTTCTCAAACTGTGGGTCAAGACCCCTGTGGGGGTTGAATGATGCTTTCACAGGGGTCACATATCAGATATCCTGCATATCAGATATTTACATTACAATTCATAAAAGTAGTAAAATTATGGTTATGAAAATAATTTTACGTTTGGGGGTCACCACAGCATGAGGAACTGTCTTAAAGAGTCACAGTGTTAGGAAGGTTGAGAATCACCTCTCTGAACTGACTTAGACTCAGTTCTAGACTGGCTCATACCAGGGAGATAAGACCACCAACAGAGCATGAGTTTTTACCTTAACTTCACAAAGTTTGGGGGGACTAGTGAACCCCATAACAATGCACACAAAGATGACTACTTATTTGGAAACAGGATATACAAAGAAAATTTGTAAGTTCCAATACAGAGTCATCTTAAAGGATCACAAAATCATTAAGAATCCTTAACCAAAGGCCAGTGGGATAGCTTAGCAGGTAGAAGAAGCACTACTCAAACCTGACAACCTGAGTTCAATCCCCAGAACCCACCTCAGAAGAAGAGAAGCAACTCCCCAAAATTGCCCTCCAACCTCCACATACACACTCTGACACAGGTGCATCTGCACTCACACACACATATTGTGCACACACAATGATAATAATAATAATGTTTACAACTTTATTTTAAAGAATACACCTAGTACACTGCCTGGCACCTAAAGGCACTCCATATCTGGTGAATGTGTGGACCAATGAATGAATGAGGAAACACACCTCTGCCCTCAGAGATCTCATGACCTGGTACACACAGCCACCTATATCTTCTGAGGTGGTGAGAGCCAACCTGGGATCTGAGCCAAGCCCGCCCCCGGGCCCTTTCTCCCAGTCCCAGAGGCCAGAGCCAGGTGCTTGCCTAAGCTCCAAAGGAACACTACCCACATTCCTCCCACCCCCACTCCTGACAATGACCAGGGAGAGAGTGATTGTGCAACTCAGAAAAGAAGCTTTATTGATTGCCAGGAGGGAGGAGGGTCACGTAAGGGGTGAAGTGTGTGGGGACAGTAGAGGGGTTCTTTCAGCAGTGTCTGTGTCCACACATGGGCCTCTAGGTCTGAGCAGTGCCTAGCAGCCTCAGTTCTTGGTGCGCAGGACCTGCTCGTGGGTGGAGACCACCTTGCCGTCATGCACATCCATGACCTTGGTGCGGATCTGGCGATTGGTGGAGGTCACTGGGGAATGGGAGAGAGAAGGCGTTAGCAGAGGTGGACAGATGAAGTGTTCTGAAGTGGCAAGAAGCCAAGAAGCTGAGGAGTGAACTGTCTCCTGATGCCCTCTGTCCCGATTTCCACCTCACACACTGCTGCCAGGGCATCCTGTAGTCATACAGTCTGTGTCCTCAGACTGGAGCATTCAGCCGGTGCTGGCCAACTAAACCCAGATGCATTAGAAGATCCAACTAAACCCAAATAGATTAGATGGCCCATCTAGGGTGCTGTCCGTGGTGCTGATTTCCATTATCGTGGCCTCTACCCAAACACCCATTGGAGAAACAAGGTGAAGGTCGCCAGTCCTAGCCCTAAGGAGAGTTAGGAAATGGCTTTTTCTATCTGAGGAGACTCATAGGGGATACTGAGTAAGAACATTTAGCTTAACCCCCAAGAGAGTCCTAATCTAGGCCCTAGATCTGCTGGAAGATCTGAAGGTTCTCCGGAGCCCAGGCACAATGGAAGGAGAGTCTTACCGTCTCTTGATGACTGAGAACCAGAGGAGAACTGGGAGGATGAGGAGAACTGGGTGGATGAGAGGCTGTAAAGACAGAATATCGTAGAACGTTAGACGTTTGGGGGACATTTCTGAAGAGAAGGGGTGTGGACTAGAGGTGGGTCAGGCACTTACTGGGCATCCTCGCCCTCCAGCAGGCGACGGTAGGTGGCAATCTCCTGCTCCAGCCGGGTCTTCACATCCAGCAGGATCTTGTACTCCTGGTTCTGCTGCTCCATCTCACAGCGCAGCTGAGCCAGCTGCTCCTCCACGCTGCTGATCATCTCCTGAATCTGAGACAGCTGCATGCAGTAGCGGCCTTTGGTCTCCTCCAGATTATTCTCCAGAGATGCTTTCTGTGAAGGAGAGAAATGGGGTGGTGGATCACTGGGAATGGCCATGCCCCTTCAATGAGTCCAACCTCTGTGTGCAACAGCATCCTTACCATGCTGAGCTGGGACTGCAGCTCGATCTCCAGGTTCTGCATGGTGCGTCGGAGCTCAGAGATCTCACTCTTGCCGCTCTGCACCAGCTCGCTGTTGGTGGCCACCTCGCGGTTCAGCTCCTCAGTCTGTGAAAAAGAGAACACCATTCGCACCAAAAAAAACAAAAACAAAAACACCTGGAAGGCAGGTATCTGCATCCCTTCCTCTCCAAATGACACCCACCTTGGTGAAGAACCACTCCTCGGCATCCTTCCGGTTCTTCTCCGCCATCTTCTCATACTGGTCTCGCATCTCATTCAGGATGCGGCTCAGGTCCACACCAGGTGCTGCATCCATCTCCACATTGACATCTCCACCCACCTGGCCTTTCATGGAGGCCATCTCCTGCAGAGGCAGAAAAGTCCCATAGTTAGAAGCCTCATGGCTGACAGGGCTTTCTAGCAAGAGGTGATCCTGGCCTGAACACTGCCTCCCCATCTGCCATTCTATTGCTTCTCTACATCCACCCTTTTAAGCTGGGTGTTTAGCTCTCACCTCCTCGTGGTTCTTCTTCAGGTAGGCCAGCTCTTCCTTCAGGCTCTCAATCTGCATCTCCAGGTCAGCTCTGGCCAGGGTCAGCTCATCCAGCACCCGGCGCAGGCCATTGATATCAGCTTCCACACTCATGCGAAGGGTCAGCTCTGTCTCATACCTGGAATGAGGCAAGAGAAAAGGAATGAGCTATCCATCCCAGCCACACTGAAAGCTTTGTTCTCTTCCTATGTGTATTATTCCCACAGTTGGCACCCAGGGGTGTTGTGGAGAGTCAGTATTAGACACAGTGCCCATTGAGTGCTTAGGTCTGAACATTCCTACAGTCCAGGGAATAAGGATCATCATTAGGCATTCACCTGAAAAAGGCACCTCCAGCTACAGCCAATAAGGCTCAAGGCCTCCAAATATGACACCTACTGCATTTTAGGGATAGGTGGGAGGAGTGTCGAGCACCTCTCCCTAAAGTGATGGCTCTCACATCTGGCTGTGGATCAGAATCACCTAGGTTACAAATAACTGAACTGAACTCCCAGGGTGGAGTCCAACAGTCTTGCATTTTTACAAGCACCCCAAGGGGTTCTCCTGGCACCATCCCACTCTGGTTAGGAAGCACTGATCCAAAATGCCCCACCCTGCAGACGCTGGAAGCTCTGAGCCACCACACTGAAAACGTACTTGGTGCGGAAGTCATCAGCGGCCAGCCGGGCATTGTCGATCTGCAGGAGGACATTGGCATTGTCCACAGTGGCTGCAAGGATCTGTAGAATGGAAAAGCCACGGGTCGTTTGTTAAACAGATATCTGCAGGCAGATTTCACTGCAGCCTGCACTGACCGGCCTTTCTCCCTAGCTCTTGCTTGACTCTTATTCTCCTCATCCCATGTTCACCACAGCAGCCTGAGAGACAACCTCACATAGTCATTTTCAACGCAAGACTTTGACTCCTGGTCAACAGAGGAGCTGTGCATAGGTCAGGCCCCAGACTCAAAAGCCCTAGAATTCAGGTCTTATTACTATCACTCACCTGTAAAACCTAAGATGGGTCCTGGTGTTTCAAAGTCTCCCTAAGGCTCCCTACATACCTTCCATCTTCCGGATCCTCCTCTCCACACAGGACAGCCCTATCAGCCCTCTGCACACACACATATTCCTTTCTAAGCCCATGGGGCATGGACCTCAGGTGGGACTTTCCCAAGAGACAAAACCCAACTTGCCCAGGGGATTAGAAAAAAAGGAAACTGGAGAAGAAAAGCAGACAGATGGATCCCTGAGCCTGGCTGCAGTTCCTGCCAGGGACTTGTCTAATTTCCATAATTTATGCGAGGCACTAGAGCCAAGCAGGTTAAACAGGAGCAGGAAGAAGGGTTCTGAAAGCGTAGCCCCACCAGAATCTCTCTGGTTCAGGGTAAATAGATGGGCCTCGATGAGTTGCGGCTGTGGGTTTTCTATGTCTGTCTGGCTGTAGGGAAAGGCCAGCTGGAGCCAAAGCTCATGGGCGGTGGCGGCGGCGGCCCCAGCCCAGACTAACAAGCTAATGAGCGGTTTGGGTGTCTAGCTCGCGGTCCCGTTAGAGACTCACTCCTCCCTTCTGCTGGAGAAGATAACTGCCTCCTGCAGTAGAAGGTGGGCAGCCAGCACTCTAATCTCAGCCCTGTCCCTTCTCTGCGGTGTGATCTTTAGCAAGTCACAGCACCTCTTAAAGCTTGGGCTTCTTCCCCTGCAAAATGTTAAGACCGTTGGTCTCGTGTGGGCTAAGAATTGAAGCTGAGAAAAGCATGGGGAAAAGCCAGGAAGGGACACCATCTTCTCACTGGCCAGCCTTAGTGGGGATGTTCAGGGCCGCAGAGAGAGGGATCTGGGACTGGAGGCTGTCCTGCCTAGGAGTCTAAAGATGACCTGAAGCATTGGAGGAAATCTGAATGGCAAGTCCTGCTGCCCAGTTGACCCACCTTGCTCTTCAGGTCCTCGATGGTCTTGAAGTAAGGGCTGTAGTCTTTGATCTCAGTGGGCCGCTGCCTCTGGTACCAGTCGCGGATCTTCACCTCCAGGTCAGTGTTGGCCTCCTCCAGGGCTCGCACCTTGTCCAGGTAGCTGGCCAGACGGTCATTGAGGTTCTGCATGGTCACTTTCTCACTGCCCACCAGGAGCCCATCACCACCACCGAAGCCGCCACCAAGACCACCACCAAAGCCACCACCAAAGCTGCCACCACCAAAGCCACTACCAATACCGCCACCAAAGCCACCACCAAAGCCACTACCCAGGCCGCCCCCAAAGCTGCTGCTGCTGAAGCCCCCACCATAGCCACCCCCAATCCCACAGGCTCCCCCAGAGGAGAAGCGAGAGGAGCTGACTGACAGGCCCCCATAGGTGCTGGGAGCCCGGCAGGATCCTCCAGTCAGGACGGAGGAGATGCGGCTAGAGCCACCACCAATGCCACAGGAGCCCTTCATGGAGCTGGAGGAGGTGAACTGGCGGCTGCAGGTGGTCATCGTTTTGCGAGAGGTGAGCAAGTGAGCAAGTGAGCCGGCAGAGAGAAGAGAGTGCTACTCAGGTAAGTCAGAAAAGGATGGTAGTGCTTTATAGTCAGGAGTAGGGGGCGGGCCTGACGGTTTCCATTCCCCTTGGCTTTCATCACTCACAGGCCAGCGCCAACTCCCCAGCAGCTCCCTCCTCTCCTCTGCCTCATCATGTCTGTCATATTTTACTGGAAACTCATTGTTTGAAGTGTTTGGGGCTTTCTCGTCCCGCCAGGCATGATTCATCAGGGGAGGGGTGGGCCTGGAGGCTACACTTTCCCATGAGGCCCTGGGAGCCGCAGCCCTTAGGAACCCGCGCTCTGGGCTCAACCAGAATGACAGAGTAGGACCTTACCACACTGTAAACCTGCTTACCTGTTAATCCCCATTAAATGGCGGCGGGGCGGGGGGGGGGGGGAGGTCTTTATTACACATAGAGAAAGCTCACCATAGCAAAAAGCAGGCATCTAGCTGGAGAAATACCAGAATGGCCACCCTCAGCACTACCTAGGGACTGGCCATGATAAAGGGTCTGTCACAGCTTCAGCCATCCAGGTGGCTCAGACTCCAGGCAGTTCCCCTCAGCCCTAGGTACAGATCCTAATATCCACCACGCACCTGCACACAGACCAGTGACATTAGCTATTAAGTCACCAAAAGTCTCACGGACACAGCCAGAGACACTGAGGAAGAGCCTAGAGTCAGGTGCAACCCAGGACATGACATTTCTCAGAGCCTCAGTTTGCTCTTCTGAAAAGTGGGAGCAAAGAGCACCCACCCACTGTTTCTATGGCAGACAGCTCAGGGGGGGGGGGGGTCCAACGAGACAATGACGTTGAAGGTTTTTGTCAACTTTGTGTGGCATGGAGTCTGGCCGGAAGGTTAGTGCTTATTTTGGTCTCAAAGCATATGAGGCCACATGCCTGGGACAAAGCAAACTTCTTTGTTTCTAGCCTCAGATGTCAGGAGAGCTGAGGCAGAGAGACAGAGAGCTGGCTCAGACACCCTCACTTGATCCCCTGTGGAGCTCACCCCAGACATGTATCACGGAGAAATGCAGGCCCCTGGGAGTGGGGTGGGACTGAGTCAAGGATATGGCCCAAGTGGACATGGGGTCCCTGACTCCTGAGTCCCTGAGGGACAGGGGACATCTCCAAGAGCCCAGTTAGTTCTGCTTCAGAGGTTTGTATACCAAGTTTCAGCTATCCCGTATCTAACATGCTTGACAAACTCCCAGAACACCCACTTCCTGCCCCCCACCCCCTCCTGCCAGCCCCTCAGCCCCACGGACCCCAGCAGGCATGTTGGGAGGAATGTGGTCCTGTCTGGGACTGCCTGGCATGTCCTATCTTCCCAGACAGGCCCCAACAGCCCCCGCTGAGGCTCCTACACTCTTCTTAGTATCACCTGCTCCCAGAAGGGAAGCAGCGCCTCAGACAGCCAACCCCACCTGACCCTGCCTGCTACCAAAGCAGGAGTCAACACCCTCCCCACCACAGGGCTTAAGAGCTCAGAAGACAATGCTAAGGCAGACTATTGAGGCTGAGGGCTCCCCCAAATCTGACTCTCTAAGGACTAGCAAGGATATGAGTAACCTGGAGCTCCACCCGGCTCCACCCACCCCTGACAGACACTTCTAATCTCTTTGCAGAGAATATTCTCCACAACCGTGACCCAGCCCTTCACTCTCCCCAGCATGAGGTGGAGGGGATTTGGACTGAAAGATGGATACTTTCTGTTGGAAACGGTGTTGCTGTTGGGTGCAGTAAGAGGTAGGGATCTCCTTCCTGGAGAAAAAGACAGAATCCTCCCTGCCAGTGCTTTCTCCCACCCCCTACCTCTCCCCCTCCTCTTCTTCCCCTACCCCTCTACTCCTCCAGTTTCTCCTCCCTCTGCTCTTCCTCCTCCTCCTCTGGTCCTCATCTATACCCTGCTCCTCTTCCTCTCCCACCCTGCTCCTCCATCTTATCCAAACAGAGATAGCAAGGAATGAATGTCGGATAAACACACACAGTCTAAGAGGAGACGCTTGCCAGCCCTCCCCACCCTAGGCTCTGGTTCCCCCAGGTAGATACGTCAAGGTCAACAGACACAGACTCCATGGCCAAAGGGCTGCCAAAGGCCCAGCCAGTTGGGGAAGGGGCACCAGACAGTCCTCTCCTGTCCCCATGGTAATGATGATGATGATGACATTTTCAGGACATGCAGTCTCCGAGTAGCAAAGGTTAATGAGTTGGAATGGGTATCAGATAGGCACCTCTGTCTGCTGGGACCTGGTGTACCCCTACCTCCTGTGAGCATGTTCTGTGTGAGCACCATATCTGCCCCTCCCTCTAGCCTGCCCCGGGACAGGGAAGAAAGGAGGGGCTTAGGCAGCCAGCACTCTGTGGTTAGTGAGTCTCCTACACCTCCCTGCGGTGGGGAGACCCATGCCAATCCAAACAGGTGAAGGGACTGGGCCAAGCAGCCCCCACACTGCCTCATTGTGTGCTGAGGCCTGGGTGGAGCTAAGGGATTACATCTTCATGGAGGAGGAGCCAGGGCTAAGAAAAGAGGCACATGCCTTGCCCTAGAAGCCCACAGTCTAGAGAGAGAGAGATACTGGAAGAGACCGTCCCTACCTTTAGAAGTCTTTGGCCTGAAAGAAAGAGAAAAGGCCTTCAAAGTTGCATAATACAAGAGCAAGCCTGCGAGAACTAAATACTGCCTGCCCATGTCTCAGGGCTCTGTGTGTCCCAAGTCATCACAGCCTCGGCAGATTCCACAGTGAATGCCTATTTCCCCCGTTCTGGAAACCACATGCCCCCAGAGAAGATGGAGGGACCACACTCCCTCTGAAGATCTCGGGAAGGCTCCCTCCTGACCTCCACCAGGCATCTCCTGGAGTCCCTGGGTTCATGGCAACAAAACTCCAAGCTCTCCCTTTTTCTCCCCACAGCCTTACCGTGCGTCCATCCCTCTTGTTCTGTCTCTCACAGTTGCACTTATCGGATCTAGTGGGGCCCCCCAATGCAGTGTGACGTCATCTCAGTCCTTACCTCATCTGTCCCTGCAGAGACCCTACTTGCACGTAGCCTTGACTTTGGGAGGACACCACTCAAACCCTGTGTTAGCAGACTGGGTGCCGGTAGCCAGCTGTGGAGGAGGCAGGGAAAACCTGGCAGAGATAATTACGGTAAGAGGTGGGCAGGGCCAGTCTGGAGGTTTCTGGAGAGAGGAGCTTTGAGCTGTACATGTTAGGGTGCTGGGTGCAGGGCGGCAGGGAGATAGGGGCTTCTCAGTGCTGCCCCAGGCTTCCCACTGCCCCTCCTTTAGCTCCTTTACAAACACACAGCTGCTCTGAGATAGAGCAGTTTTATTTTTGTTTCTTTTGTTTTTATTTTTATTTTGGGTTGTTTATGTTTGTTCGTTTGTTTTCTTCTGGTTTTGTTTCATTTGAGATAAGGTCTCCCCATGTAGCCCAAGTTGACCCCAAATTTGTAATTTCTGCTTCTATTTCTTACATCCCAGTGCTGGGATTATAATCCCTTATCACCCACCATGCCTGGCTATTTTTATTTTAAAAAATAATTTTAGATTCTCAGAAGTTTTCAAAAAGATATAAAACTTGATCAGGCTTGGTAGTGCATGCCTGTAATTCTAGTTCTTGGGAGGTAGAGGCAGGGGAATTACCCTCAAGGCCACTGTCAGCCATACAGCAAGTTTGAGGCTAGCCTGGGCTACATAAGACTCCATCTCTTTAACAATAATAATAATACATTTTAAAATTGCAAAACAGAGTTCAGAGAATACATTCGTACCCTTCAGCCAGTTTCCCTCGATGTGAACTCCTCACGTAATCACTGTACAGTTTTCAAAGCAGTAAGTTACAATGTCACTAGTCAAGCACAGGCATTCCTGGAATTTTGCTGGTTTTTCCAACAGTGTTCCCTCTCTGCTACAGACTATATATTGTGGATCTCATGACACATTCACTCATCTGGTCCCCTGAGCATCCTCGGGTCTACGGCAGCTCCTCCACCTTCCCTGTCTTCCATGACCTGGATACCTTTTGAACAGTACTGATTGGCTCTCTAGTAGAATCTCTCTGTTCCTGTTTCCCTGCTTTCTCATGACCAGATGGGTGCATTTGCCAAGAAACCCACACAGATGTTGCGGCATCCTTCCAAGCATCGTATTAGGTCAGAGGACAGATAGATACCTTGCTGTGTCTTGTTGCCGCTAAGTTGATGGTGTACACGGGCCAGGAAAATTTCTATTTTATCCTAATGAACATTGTGAAGGAGAGACCTAGGGGCTGTACATGAGTCTGATTTCCCCTTCATCTTTGACCTCCAGTGTATGGTTCTGTCAGTGGGGGAAAAGAACTCTTATCACCCCTTGGGCTCAAGAATCTGATTTGTTCTGGACTCCCTAAAGAGCTGTGGTTCCAGAACAGGCCTGGGGGAGGCAGGAGTCCACACCTAGAGAAAATACTCTTTGGCTCCCTCCTCTACCCCAAGTCAGACTGAGTGTCCTGGAACCATCTCACTGCCCAGTCTAGAACATTTCCATGCCGGCTCCCTTTAGAGAAATTCTCTAAAGTATTTCTCTTTTGTTATGTGGAAGGCAGGAGTAGAGGAGTAGATTTGGGGGTGGGGGGTAGAGCTGTTGGTATTGGGGGTTTTATTTGACTGCCTGTTTGCTTGTGACAGGCTCTAACTATGTAGCCAGGCTGGCTTTGAAGTCACAGTCATCCTCCAGCCTCAGCTTCTTAGTTCTGGGATTATAGACAACCACCACGTCTGATCCAAGCATTTTCCTCATTCTGTTTTCTCTTGACCCCGTCCAGCCCCGTGGGAAAGAAATAGACAGTAAGGTCCTCCCCAGACACAGGTGTGAAATATGGTCCCCAGTCCCAAGGCTGGCCTTCCCTATTTTTCCTGATAAAAGGACCTTCCTTCCTTCTCTTCCAGGCCCCTAAGCCCCACCACCCCCTCCCTGCCAAGCCTCAGAGAGAGGTCTCCTAGCACTCAGGGCTCTCATTTGCAGGGAAGCTGGGACCCAAGCA